GTCCCCCTTCTTAAAAAGAGGGACCACCACCCCGGTCTGCCAGTCCAGAGGCACTGTCCCCGACCGCCATGCGACGTTGCAGAGGCGTGTCAACCAAGACAGCCCAACAACATCCAGAGACTTAAGGTACTCAGGGCGGATCTCATCCACCCCCGGTGCCTTGCCACCGAGAAGCTTCTTGACTACCTCAGTGACTTCAGCTTGGGTGATGGACGAGTCCACCTCTGAGCCCTCAGCCTCTGCTTCCTCATCGGAAGACATGGCGCCGGGATTGAGGAGATCCTCGAAGTATTCCTTCCACCGTCCGATAATATCCCCTGACGTAATTGACACGTGAATGATCGCAGGTATCGTACGTTCGGTAAGGCAGCTGTTGCGCCGCATTATGGGATTTGTAGTTTGTGTGTTATCGGCGCTTCATATCACTGGGCCATTAAAGAAAGACGTATAAAATGCTCTTGCGGGCCGGATGTGACCCGCGGGCCTTGAGTTTGACACGTGATTTAAGTGAACGCCAACAGCCCAGGGGACAGTTATACACTCAAGATTCATTGTTCACCATGTTGTGGTTAACTGGTACCCATTAAAACTATGAATCCCCATGACCATTTCATTTTCTATGTGAGTTTGTGTGTGTATTGTAAGGACGGCACATCTATGACTTCTACAATTATGGCAGGTCTTTAAACATATTGAAGATTAGAGGCATGCACTTCATTTATAACCCATTAAAAACTTTATTCAGGATATCTCTAATTACATTTTGCAGTCACAACTCATATTTAAGAGATATTAAATTGCATTAGTCTAAAATGTGAATTCCAGGTATTTCCAGATATTAATATTAAAAATTAAATCAATTATTGTATATTATTAAACCATCTCTATGCTAAATATTTGTCTGCACCTTATAAATGCTAAAGAGAGAGAGTAAAGTGTTATCAAGGAGATTTTTTTTTACTGTAATTGAAACAACCCTCACAAACGCTAGGCTATGTGCACAAGTATAATAAGGTTTGGTGGAGTATTATTATTATTATTATTATTATTATAAAATTATTATTATTATTAAAAAGAACATTTCTGCTGCTAAATTGGCTTTTATTGTTCTGGTGAATATGGAAACTGTCTAAAAGTAGGACATCATTACATAATCACACACACACACACAATGACAATGCAAGAATTCCCTTACAATCAATCAGAGCTCTTGAAGAAGAGGAGTTTCCATAGCAACAGTGCAGCCTTAGCAGCAGATGGGGTTGCTTTAGAGACAAGTGAAGGGGAGAAGAAGAGGAGATGACAACCAGAGCGACATGGAAGAGACAGGAAAACAAGTTTCATGACCTTTTAACCCGTGCTTCTTCCAGGGTTGTTTTATCTGATACTGACACATGAAGCAGCACAAGAAAAACCCTTGAATCACTAATGTGCTATATCAGTTAGTGATGAAAGAAAGGTGCTATTTACAGTATGACCGGTAAACTGCAGCTCAAGCATATGTCTTATTTACATGCTGTCAGCTGTCTGTATTATGATGAGTTAGTTCTCTCTGCATGTTTATACCCCTCCCCTCCTCTCTCCATCATCTGTCCCCTTCTTCCCCCCCCCCTCTTCTCCTTCCCCGTCTTTTGCTGTCAGATACCTTATGTTCTCTATCACGGCCCCTTGACCTTAAATACTCTTATTTCTCTTTGTATGGTCGTATTTATATGTAAAGCCATTTGAATTAACTTTGGTTATGAAATGTCCTTTACACATAAACTTGCCTGGCCTCCTTCTTTCATTATCCATTGCCTTGGTTTTTGCCTTTAGAAGATTGGTAAAATATCTTTCACAAAAATGTGCTGTAATCTTCTTCATGTTAGATATTGCAGTGTCATAAATGTAACCTCATTGTAAAGAAAGACAAAACATATCTGCTTCACAGAATCTTTTAGAAACCTTGCTATTTCAAAATTACAGAGGTGTCATTTTTCTCACTTTATGACCACTTTCATAGTCAATACAACAATCTATTCAGTGCACTTGTTTGCTTTCTTTTCTCAGTGTATGCTAAATGTCTTTCACTAGGGAAAAATTATATTCATCATAGGACCTACCTCAAATGGTAGTCTTCAAGCTTACCCCTCCATCAATCCTTTATGTTTGTATGTCTTTCCCTTTCACCATATCTGTTGTGTCAGTGTGTTACTCTTTAGCTTCCTTTTTTATAATTTGGTTTCTTAGGGGGAAAACCTGTAATATCATGCACCTCTCATGCACATGCAAACACAGACTGCCAACACCTTTCTCTGTATCTCTCTAACAAGGAGCCTTTTCTGTTGATGTACGTATCGAAAAGTACCTCACATTAGAAGTCACTCCAGAAATAAAATGAAGAAAGACGGGCTCATTTTTATTACTGTGATTTTTATTTTTTTAAGGGGTTTACATTACACAGTGGAACTATTATCCCCTCCTCTGAGCTCCATCCTGAGGCTGTTAAATGTCAATGTGAATAACGATGAATTTATTTATTTAACCAAAATAATGTATTTTTTTTCTTTAGGCATGCAAGTAACTGCAAAGAATATTTGATTTTTTTTTTTTTTTAGCTAGCTCTATTTTTTCACCTTAAATTAGATGGTGACATAACTTTCATTCATTCATTCATTTTCTACCGCTTAGTCCCTGAACGGGGTCGCGGGGGGGCTGGAGCCAATCCCAGCCGGCAATCGGGCGAAGGCGGGGTACACCCTGGACAGGTCGCCAATCCATAACTTTCATATTTTACTTTATTTCAAAAATGTTTGCATAAATCACATTACCCTATAAGAAACACTTCAGGTTGGTTCCCAATACAGATTCACTTAGCCCAAGAAAAATCCATGTGTAGTGTGGTCATCCCTGAATGCACATTTTCTCATTGTATAATTTTTGTTTGTTTGTTTGTTTGTTTTTAATATTGACCTTTCTTTTCTTTGTATTTCTGTCTTCAGATCACAGAGCTGTTGGATGATGATAAGGGTGAGGCAGAATGTGAAGAGCTGCCTCAAGACGGGGAAGAGGGTCCTTCCTCCTCCGACTCACCGCAACACACACGTGCTGACGACAGCCCTGCAGCCAGGTGAGACATAACTACATGTACATTTTCCTACATTAGTCCAGGAGTGTGGAGCACCCTTTTCTGTGGTAACATACCAAGAGATTACTTTTTAATGTGTTTGAAGTACACAGCATGAGTCACACTGCAGTTTGGCAGTTTGTCTACCTCATTATTGACCTAAGGGTTTCTGTGCGTTTTTTTAAATCCAGAAAAGCAAATGCCACCTATATATTTAAGCTTGAATGAAAAAAGACAGAATGACTGTCTTATTATTGTTGAGACAGAAAGCAAAAGCTAATTTTCTCTGCATATCATTTGCACAAATTTGGGGACCATATGTATAGTCTCTGTTGATTGACCCCGAACAGCAAACGTTTCAGCTGTACAGACATAAGCTTTGAGCTAGCTAAAACCCAAAGCATTAACTGTGTGTGGACTCTGTGTATGTGTGTCTGTCACCTGCATACAGGTATCTGCATCTTAAGGATCTGGTATCTAGGCTGTTAATCGATTTATTCATGTGGCAGCATAAAAGGATTCTCGTGAGGTTGTGTGTGGTTTTGGGGTAAAGCTTTAAGGTGGCAGCTGTTTTGTACAGTTTTGCACACAATGCTTTAATCATTGCTAGAAGAGGGTCAAATGCAGCAAATTCTTTAAGTTAAACGAAGCTTGCCAGACTATTGTGATCTCTTAAGTCTCATGTGAATGCTTTAATTGATATTAATTCTCTGTTAGCTGTGCTTAGCCTGCAGCCTTCATCCCTGTGACCTTGTCTAACCTTAATGTCTGGTCTAGAGGATTATTGCTGTATGTGTACACCCTGGAGTCAATGGCCTGCACCACTAAGCTATGTAAAACAATGTTGACACAGAGCTTTGGAGAATACATCTGTTGAAGTTGCTAAAAATATCGAGCACTTTTCAGTCCAGCCACATACATACAGAAGTATGTACACAGAAGTCTTGTTGCTTCCAAATCCAAAAGTAAACAAAATGTGTGTTCTATGATTTATGGGTGAACTAACATATTTTATTTCGGGCTACACAGATAACAGACCTCATTTGTAGACCTAAATCTCTAATACCTGCTGGAACAATGGCCATCAATTACATTTGTAGAAAAGTTGTACTGTTAATGAATCATTGTTCTGAACATTTGACTATACATCCATCCCACAAATACCTTACATTCTGATATATAGGCCAACATTTTAGTAAGATTTCTTAACAATCCTTATGCTATTATGAATAATGTTCTATCAGGTTATGTATTCTTGTCTTGGCAGCCTTGTTTAAACTTGAACTTATTTTGATATTTGGAAATCCTTTTCATGTTAGTAACGGCAGAAGAGCGAGGTATTGATTTAGTTCTTCAGCATTTTGTTAGTCATATCCTATAACATTTAATCATCAGTTGCTTACCTTCACTTTCTTCTGCTGTGGCTCACGAGGTAGGGCAAGTCGTCTTCTGACCAGCAAGTTGGTGGTTCGACTCCCGGTCTCCCCGCATGCCTAAGTGTCCCTGAGCAAGACACTGAACCCCAAATTGCTCCCGGTGGCTTGACTAGCGCCGTTGTGTGGCAGCCTTGTCGTCATCGGTGTGTGAATGTGTGTGTGAATGGGTGAATGGTGTATAATCTCCCTGTAAAGCGCTTTGGCCAGTGCATAAAAGCGCTATATAAATACAGTCCATTTACCATTCTATAAATGTCGCTAATAGATAATGATTTTGATGAGTCAGTACACATGTACGTTTTAGAGGTGAGCTCACCGTTCCATGTCTTTATCAGTTATTCTTTGACACGTATGTGGTTGTTACAGCCCAGAAATGGAGAGAAAGTTCCCATTGAATGACTCAACATTAACTGTGGCTGAGTTGTTTGTCTTGCACTTGACAGGCAGGGAAGTCTGTCCTCTGTGGTTGCTGCAGTGCTCCTTTAATAGACCGACAGCTAGTACACACACACCTTACATGCTGACAGCCTCTGCTCATTTCACATCTATATATAATCTATGGTATTTCTCTTCTAATCTCTCTGGTACCCCATCTCTACTTGCCTCCCTCTCCACTCTTCTTATATTCTCACTATGTGGAAAGTATTCTTCATGAGGCTGCTGAAATTAGCTGGCAGGCTGAGGAAGAGAGCTCGAGATGAGGAGGAGAGGAGCTGGAGGGAGGGATGGATTAATGGAGGGAACAGAATCAGGGCAGAGAAGGCCATGGGGGAGCAAAGACAGGGTGGGAGAACTGGAGAGTGTCACTACTTGTGAGCGATTTATCGATTTTCAGTCTGAGTGAAAACACAATATCAGAAAAGGTCAAGCCAGAAAATTGCCTTTAAATACACTTTATAACAAATGTGATTACATTGCCTCCACCTTTGCTTGTCAGTCTGTCACGTTGTAAGTATCTATTTTCATATGGCTGTAGAAATGATTTTAGTTTTCCCTGTGCAACACCACAACATGGTGAAGAGCTGGTCTTTGCTTCCCCTCCTACTCTCACCCATCACTTTCAGATTGTGTGGATGCCTGGGCGCTTGTACTGGGCACAGCTTGTAATAAGATATCCTAACCAATTGAGATACTTATACATGTGCTATTAGTTCCCGCCCTCAGTTCTGGTACAGGTGTCTTATCGGACTTTCTAAGGAGCACTTGCATTGCTATATCATCATGGAAAAATATTTATTTTGTCCTCCCGCAGGCCGCTGCTGTGTCAGCACATTGTTGCCACTGTAGCTGCTTGTGTTGGTCACAAAAAGATAAAGCTCAAGTTCTTAAGTAGAGTTCAACAAAACCATCAGTAATACCAGACAGGGTGACTTAACACCAACCTGTAGCCAAAGTAGCGTTATTGATTCATGACTAAAGCTGCATAACATTTATTCTTTCTTCTACTGTTGAGGAACATCTGGAACTATAACATCTGCTCTAGTTTAGACAACCGTGTCCCAGACAGGAGACATAAGAGTTTAAAATGAAACACTTGGAGAAAGTCAGGGACTATTTGGGTATTTTGCAAATCAGTCACAGACAAGCAGACATTATGCAAAACTGTATTTAACTTGGATTTACTTCTTAGCTATATGTTAATCTAACACACTACATGACATGGAACACTGTCTAGCATTATTGCTTACTTGGAATCAGTGATTTCTACTGTACAGACTAAATGGCCATATGTGGACTAGAAATCTAGCAATAGAGCCTTTACTGTTTTTCTTTCTTTTTTCAATTTTCATAACAGAAAAAAGTCCCAATTTGGACTGATATGGAGCTTAGCTATGTCGTGCAAAGTCATGCTACATATCATGAAAATGTCAGTCTTTAGATCCACTTCTGAGAGCTGTGTTACACTGTGGGCGTAGTGCATTGTGTGAGCGTTTTTATCATAAATACCTTACAGTTTGAATGTTCCAAGACAAAAGAACAGCAGCACAGTGCATCTTGTTCCTACTGTGTCACCTGATTAGGCAAAGGCTGCATTGTCTTCAGTTAAAGTACCACTAAGTCTTGCTGGAGGGGCAAGAGCCCTTGTGTGATCATTCTCCTCTTGTATATTTCCTTCTTCTGTTTTGTTTTTTGTGTTTTGTTCAGCGTTGTCTGAGATGCTTGACTTTAGGTTGAGGCTAATGTACAAATGCGTTTAGTTGCAGTTGTTCTGATGAAACATTACTCATCTTGTCTGGATCTCAGCAGAATGTTGCTGCAGTGCTTAAAGCAGAACAGTCAGAGTAAATGCCTTGATTTATTTGATAGCTAGAGTTTTGTTGGGAACTACTCCTGTTGGTCAAGCATTCTTAGGTCTGGCATACTGTACTTTGTCTTTCTCGTTTCGGTTTGTGAGTGAACCCCAGACTACACTTTGTTTAATTTTTCAAGCATTTTTCTCTGAAACAACATTCAGTGTCACAACAAATAGGCAACAATCAGGTGGTAGATAGTCTTTCTGATAAGCTTCACCTTCTTGTGTTTGTTAAAAGCTTGTAAGATCTTCATTATAACAAGCTTCTAAGTTTGATCTCAAAAAGGTTGATCTGACGTGGACCTATTGTTTGATACACAGAAACATCCATCTGTCCATCTATTATCTATACCGCTTATTCCTGAATAGGGTCGCGGGGGCGCTGGAGCCCATCCCAGCTAGTATTGGGCGAGAGGCGAGGTGCATGCTGGACAGGTTGCTAGTCTATCACAGGACTACAGAAACATTACAAGGATAAAATGAACAACCTTAGTTTCCTTTGGAGTGATGTAAGAGTGTTTTGATTCAGTTGTGATTGTGTTCTTTATAGTAAATGGCCAGAGTCATTATATATGTAATGCACATTTGAAACACATTTCCTAACTGTGCATATGACAAACACTTTGACCATTTGACCAAACACATTTATTACACCTTTTACTCTGTCTATGAGCTAATGCATCACTTTCACCCCGTTTCCCATCCAGAGCATGGATTGAGCCGCATATTTCTGTCTGAACCCGACCCCTCCCTGAAAGTGTGGCATAATTTCTAAATTTCTGTCCGAACCCTCGGGTACCAACAGGTCCCATCAGGCTCGTTTTGGGTATCCACACTCTAATCCCGTCCCTGTTTCAGTCATTAATTAATGCTTTTGATAGCCTCTCATTACAAAAGAGACTTAAGACACAGATGTGTGTGGCTTTGTGTTCCTGTGCGTCTTCTGTGTGCATTTATTCCTGTTTGTGTCCTTACAGCCCACTGGGTTAGCTGTAAGGACTGCTGAGTTTATAGTCACCACTGAGTGGACCAAAAAAAAAAAAAAAAAAAACAAACCCCCCCCTCCCATTTTCTGCCTCTTGATTGGATCACGATACTCATTCCCTCTTTGATTGGCTCCCAAATCCAGCCCCTTCTATCCTATTGGTCCTCCTGGGGTTGTTGCCTGGTTACATCAGAAGCTCATATATTTGAGCAGGGATGTTTACTGCAGCACTTTTACAGCCAGAGTGAGACAATCGTACCCACACACACATTCTGAGGACGCCACAGAG